AAATTATGAAATAAAATAACTGTGTCTGTGACACCATTTCGCAGCTGAGTTATATCATATGACACCTCAATCATCAAGGCCACAAATGGATAAGTTCATTCGTTCGACTCCACCTTCGGATTTATTTAAAATTGGTTAAAAGGGGCCGAGGTTATAATAATTGTATTTGTTAAGGCTAAAAATAGGAGAATTTGATTTAAGCGTCCATGGATTCCTGCGCCATATTGTCTAAATAAGCAAAGGCGATTCATAATTTTAGCTGGCAGATATAACGATGAATTTTTGTTAGCATACATTTCTTTGTATTGTTTTTAGAGAACTTGTCGGTTTCCTAACGATGTTTTCCTTTACTTTACAATTATATATATTTTGTTTAGTATCAGTTAAATCGTCTATTTTAATGATACTAAACATAATGCATATTATTTAAGGAAAATGCAATGCATCTATTACTATAGGTTGTAAACCAGCTATTGTTCGAACTATGTATTTATAATATACGAAACTATAACTGCATGTAGGCGAGTAAAATATGTGAATTGTAATTTGTTGGTCCAAGGTGGGTTACATCCAATTTTGGCTTTGCGGTCGTTATATAAAAATATGAATATAAATAAGTATCTCTTATAATACAGGCGTTTTAAGACAGTTTGCCGAGCACCACCCCTATGGAACCAGCTGCACATCGATGTATTTCGGACCCAATTCGATTTGGGATCCTTCAAGAAAAGATAGTACCAATTTTTAAAAGGCCGGCAACGCACTGGCGAGCCCTCTGGTAATGTGACATTCTATGGACGGCGGTATCACTTAACATCAGCTGAGCCTCCTGCTCGTTTGCTTCCTGATACATAAAAAAAAGGTTTCGAATGAATGAATTTAATTATTGTTATTCCTATCGAACGTAGGTCAGCAGAGCATGTGCATTAACTACTAATCCATGGATTATTACGAGAGAGTCTCTTTAAGACTTGTATTAAAAGAATACAAAAGTTATTATTGTAAAAAGTACTTAAATAAATAGTCTTGAACATATACTCGTATGTATATAGATTTTTATATTTAAGTTGGTTCAATTTAAAGGCTTTTCAATGTTTAACTTGTACCATTTTTATGTTTCGTCCCACAATGCTTTAAACCACATAACTTCCGTTGAGTAGTTCTTGCGTAATACGTGTAGGTGGAAACGGTGTTCTACAGTTGCAGTTAATTTCATTCGATAATTTCGTGAATATAAAATACTTAAAATCTTAGTACTAATGGTGTATAGTGTAAATGTAAAATTTAATTCAGACGTATTCAAATAAATATAACTTGAATGACGCGAACTAAGGCGTTCTCAGGAACAAATCCTTGTAGCCCTCAATAACTTTAGATGCCACGGTTGACTGCTTATATATACAATAAGGTTTAACACAAAGCCATTTATATGTTGCTATGGGGAACAGCTGCAACTGCGAGGTGTGTTAACGGGAAGCGCATATTGACTCAGGTCATTGACTGTAAAACTATTTATAGTTCAATTACAAAACTGACCGAAATTTTTTACCTTTTTTTTATTTTATTTATTTACACACTCACGGCCTGTTCCCGGGGTAGGCAGAGACCACGGATCTCCACTTGCTACAGTCCTGACATACCTCTCTCGCTCCATCCACTTTCATGAGATTCACCATCAATGGTTGTTGATTATGGGCTCGAAAATTCTATATAAATATCATATACGGGTAAGAAGAGTCGAGATTTAGAAGCATGACTCCCTTAAGTCAAATCCAATATGTTTTTTTCCGTAATTAGTACTAACGTAGAGCAACTGAAACAATAAACGAAAGTAGAAATCTTACGATTCTTAACTCAGTCAAAAATCGTATTTTGGATTAAAAAATAACAATGCAACAATTTTGCTATAATACTATATTCCTCTTTTGATCCCTTGCTCACTGCTGAGCGTCGTGATGCGCTCAACCCCTTTGTAGCAGATAACTGCATTGCTGCTTCCATCTGTGATAATTTCCATCTAGGTAAATGGCGTCAGAGTCCTTAGTGCCCAGGTTTAGGGTCCTGGTCGGTCCATCGTCTTGGGCTACGTCCCCTTGGTCTCTTTCTCTCCATTTTCCAGGTTTTTATAAGTTTTTTTCAACACAATCCTGAGACCAATGCTTGAAGGCCTCTTGGTGTTCCTGCAGTTCTATTGGACTTGAGACATTGGTTGGGCTGTCCAGGGAATATGCAGCATACGTCGCCACCAGCACCTTTCGAAAGCGTCGATGCGGCGTCTATCAGACATTTTTAGGGTCATTCGGTGCCATAGAGGAAAATGGGAAAGACAAGTGTCTAAACCATGTATACTTCACTATAATATTATAATTAGCATGTCTATTAACCCGATACTTACCCTGGATGCGAATCGGGAGTGTTTGTGATAAGCCAAATGAAATCGTTGGCACCAACTAGAATTAAAATAAACAAAACAAACAAAGGGTATGGTGAAAGGTCACATAGACGGATGAGAAATTCACTGACCTCGAATATATAATATGATAATTGAATGTTATACGTATTTAATTTATATTTGGGAGTTGGTAAGTGGGCACTATTAACATAACTCTCTTATGCAGACTTACTGGAAATAGGTCTGAATGTATTTATCAATTATGATTTTAAAACATATATTTATCATATATTAGGTTTCTATTAAAATTGCACTTTTCGTAATTTATAAATGTGCTATCGAATTTCAAGCAATTAAAGCATGAAGAATAAAAATTTCATGTTCATATTGGATTTCTGAATGAACAAAAGTAAATTATAGATAAAAAGTAATTTAAAAAATATAACCGAATTCAAATACATATCTGTCAAATGAAAAGGAAAAAACCCCAGCCCTGCGATTCTGTAACTCACTTTTCGAACTCACACAGCGGTTTTCGCATCGGCGGTCGCTCTCAAATCAGTCGTGAAGTTACAGAGTTACAGAATCGCAGGGCTGGTGTACTATTATACAAGTTGCCTTCAGAAATGCGTAGTTATCCAAATCTCAAAAATTACCAACATAGACTTATCACACTTGCTTAAATAAAACGGTAAGATGAACAGTGCTGGTAAACGCCAATCAGCCTTTGGGTTGGTTTGGTTTGGCGAAGTTAAGTGCGTGGCTACAGGAAATAGGAATAGGAAAGTGCGGGATATAGGAAAATAAGTCAAGTCAAACCTTATTAAATTCCAACAATTTAAATACATACAAGTGAACAGACATTTTTAAAGTCAGTCAACAAAGAAAGATTTCACCCTCTGTAATCAGTATTTACGTTATCAATTCGCTAATATACACTATCTACATGCAGATTAGTTATCATTCCGTCGTTGTATCGGAAATCCGGTACTTGTTATTTAGAGCGAAATTTTAACATGTATGACCATTGATATATGGAGGTGGGGTCCCATGTGAATGCGTGGCACATTGGAGTACGCACTTTCACCGGCGCACGAGTCGCACACATGACATCGATTTTTGGCCTCGTTTACTTTAAACGTCTTTGTTGCATTTCCAAACGCATTAGTTTAAATGGCGCAGTGTCGAAATCGTTATTGCTTACCTAATTTGTATGAATACCTTACTGTTTTATCTAAGCCCACAGTCTACAAACTTAAAGGCTAATTTTTACTCTTTTAGTAAGACAATTTATGAATTCATATGTTTTAGGCCATCAATAACGCTCGTTTCGTTACGATAATATAACGGCTGTCTAAAGGAGTGTCTATAGTACGGTTCGTAGCAATTACGACTGGTAACTTGGTTATAGAAACCGAGTATAAGTTGTCAAAAGTGTAAATAACACCTGTTTGCGAACATTACGACACGCAGCTCGCGTATGTTCCGGCATCGGCTATAACCGGTTCTAGCCGGTGTGGAGGCATCGAGTCCATTTACCTGGCCCCGTTGCCCTAGTACTAGGATTTTACCGCTAAGATTTCAATTAACTAAGCAAACTATTCAATTGTAAATATTATGAGCAGTTTGTATTGCCTTATGAATAATTTCTAGTAATAGTTGAGTTTAAATCGTACACATTTCTGCCTTTATTCGTTGTATACGTTTGTTCCCGTGACCATGGTTGCAACGCGAAACCTCGGTACATTTTTAAAATTTTTGCCTAAGATAACTAAAACTCCATATCCATATTCTATAAAATATATCTACTATAGGTACTTGATAATTTAATTATCAAACTTAATTAATACATACACGATGTTACACATGAAGTATTCATTAAACATTTGTCGTTGTTATTGAAAAGGTTTTTAAAGGTCAGGTTCAAGGGTCAAGAAAATCAATATGTATATGTGTGACCATTTTTAAAGGGTTGTTAAATCGATATTATTGTCTAGACTAGATAACGTCTAGACTGCCTGTGGTTTAAATCCTATTAGGAAATATGAGGAAGCTTTGTGAAATCCAGTAACCAGACGGTCAAATATATTCCTAGTTAAATGTTTTGACGGCCTGGAGGCCGGCCAGTATTTATGAGAAAAGGAAAACTTTATTTTTATGAATTACATTAGAGTAATTGTAATTGAGTCAAGTTTAGCAATTTTTTTTTTCAAATAAGAAAGATCAATTAATAATGAAACTAAAAATACAATTAATAATAACTTACAATAGAATCTAAACGTAGGCTGTATATAAAAATTAAATAATGTAAAATTTCATTGATTTAAGTTAATTTAATTAAATATATTTTTTGATTTAAGAGCTTGAATTTGATTGATGCCACAAATGTACTAGTATTTTACCATGAACAACAAACGTAAAATTGATAGATCCGGATGTGTGTGGAGTGACGAAACTATTATTATATTTTGTTTAAATATAACTATAATATACATTTTAAATTTTTTTTATATCGAATAACAACTTTTATTTCTGCTCATACTGATTTTTACAGTTTTACTCTAAACAGCTTTAACAATATCTTTATGTTCCATTTTTAAATTTCCAGATTGTCGGCATAATATGTATGTCTCTGGGCACTCCATACTCCTCGTCATGGTACGTGTTCGTAGCTGTGACCTCATTTATCACCACTCTCATGTGGAGTTTCGTGTACCTACTGAGTGTCAAGGACGCCTTGAAGATACCCATCAATTGGGTTTTATCTGTAAGTAATCCATAGACTATAAAATTAATGGCACATAGTACGGGGTCCGACAAAACTATTATATTGTTTTGGGTTGGATGGTATGCAAGACTGGTACAGACTAAACATATCTGTTTCCTCTTCCACTGATACAAGAATGAACACAAAACAAATATTTTTTTCATAAGTTCTATAAGAATTTATTCAATAATACTAAATATTTAACTAATAAAATTTGTTTAATTTATATTATTTTATGTTAATATGTATTAATACTAAAATTGTTTAACTTCAATATAATTCAAATGTTTAGTCTAGTCGACAAGTTGAAAATGGAACAAAATAGAGATACTGCTCTTAAAATTATGTGCGATAGCTCATTCGAACCGGAATGACGCCTAGAAAAATGTGCTAAAAGCGTGTATTAGCACATAAAAAATTGCAAAAGTTATAGACCATTAAAGATGAAAAAAAATGGAATTTAGTTTTTTGCCAATATTTAATAAACTATTAATATTTAAGAAATTTCAAATAAAGATTCTGAAAGAGGAGGAAATTTCCAATAAAAAACTCTCAGCTCCCGGAACTCTATCTCCATTATTTATAACTTTAATTTAACGCTGAAAATAGGTCTGTGCGTGACATTTTTAGGATTCGCGCGTGGCGTCAAAAGCGACTACGGCACATTAATTAATTTATTTAAGGTATTGAATATTTTTTTTAAATTTGAAAAAATTATGGTGTGTTCTGAACACTATAATTAATTTATTCCCGTTGGAAATTTTACTTAAAGTTAATTTTTCAACAAGTTAAATAATTGTTAACTAACGAAATTTTTCTCGAACGACCGTCTTAATTGTAAGTGAAAAAAAATGTTTTAATAATGGTCGTAAAAATATTTCGCTTCGTAGAGCCTTTCTTACATACATACTTAACAAGATCGTGCCATAAAAGTTAAAGAAATATTTATACTTTGTTTATAACAATTTTTTACTTAAACAAAAACTTAAAAATCCAAGTAATGTTGTTAAAAAATTTTTTTTTCTACATCATCATATTATCGTTTTTATATTAATACAAGATATTTATTGATTTGCAAAAAAAAAATTCCCGCCATTTGTTGATAATTTTTTTTAAACAAATTGATTAAATCAATTGTTTTAAAAAAAAATTTCCAACTTTATTACATTACAAATATTATGATTGTTTAAAAAAAAAATTCCTTAATAACATATTTTAATTGTTTATAATCGTTTTTTTTATATTTCTATTGTTTAAATAATTAGTTAAGAAATTTTTTTTTCTAAAAATCATAATTCACAATCCTCTATAAAGTAACAGAAAAAAATTTTTTTAATCAACAATTCTATTGTTTATTAACTTACCAATTTGTTATAAACAAATGTTCAACTTTTTATATTTTTTTCTAAAACTTCTAAAATTAACAAAAACGAACATATATAACAAAGTCTATAAAAAAAAAAAAATTTTTTTTTAATAAAAGTAATATTCATGATAATCAAAAAATTTAAAAAAATGTTTTTCTATATTTTGTTATATATGGTTGTTTTTGTTAATTTTAGAAGTTTTAGAAAAAAAATAAAAAAGTTGAACATTTGTTTATAACAAATTGGTAAGTTAATAAACAATAGAATTGTTGATTAAAAAAAATTTTTTTTCTGTTACTTTATAGAGGATTGTGAATTATGATTTTTAGAAAAAAAAAATTTCTTAACTAATTATTTAAACAATAGAAATATAAAAAAAACGATTATAAACAATTAAAATATGTTATTAAGGAATTTTTTTTTTAAACAATCATAATATTTGTAATGTAATAAAGTTAGAAATTTTTTTTTTAAAACAATTGATTTAATCAATTTGTTTAAAAAAAATTATCAACAAATGGCGGGAAATTTTTTTTTGCAAATCAATAAATATCTTGTATTAATATAAAAACGATAATATGATGATTTAGAAAAAAAAAAATTTTTTAACAACATTACTTGGATTTTTAAGTTTTTGTTTAAGTAAAAAAATTGTTATAAACAAAGTATAAATATTTCTTTAACTTTTATGGCACGATCTTGTTAAGTATGTATGTAAGAAAGGCTCTACGAAGCGAAATATTTTTACGACCATTATTAAAACATTTTTTTTCACTTACAATTAAGACGGTCGTTCGAGAAAATTTCGTTAGTTAACAATTATTTAACTTGTTGAAAAATTAACTTTAAGTAAAATTTCCAACGGGAATAAATTAATTATAGTGTTCAGAACACACCATAATTTTTTCAAATTTAAAAAAAATATTCAATACCTTAAATAAATTAATTAATGTGCCGTAGTCGCTTTTGACGCCACGCGCGAATCCTAAAAATGTCACGCACAGACCTATTTTCAGCGTTAAATTAAAGTTATAAATAATGGAGATAGAGTTCCGGGAGCTGAGAGTTTTTTATTGGAAATTTCCTCCTCTTTCAGAATCTTTATTTGAAATTTCTTAAATATTAATAGTTTATTAAATATTGGCAAAAAACTAAATTCCATTTTTTTTCATCTTTAATGGTCTATAACTTTTGCAATTTTTTATGTGCTAATACACGCTTTTAGCACATTTTTCTAGGCGTCATTCCGGTTCAAATGAGCTATCGCACATAATTTTAAGAGCAGTATCTCTATTTTGTTCCATTTTCAACTTGTCGACTAGACTAGTTATGTTAATACAAATTGCGTCAGGATTTTAAAAATAAAATAAAAAATGTAAAGTCAAAAGAAAAATATAACAATTTTGTTTCTAATGTGATGTTTCATTCAACCTAATATATATAGCCTAAATGCTTATCAAAGTCGTTTATAATTGGAAAACTAATTAGTTCACACCAATACGTACCTACATGACATAATTACTTACTTAATTAAAAATTTTGTTCAAAAGTTTTTGACGTCAATTATGACTAATACCAATTTTATTATTATTAAATGCGCTGTAAATATTTAAAAAAATCCAAATAAACATTTTTCGAAATTTCAAATTATGTAATATGTATACAATGAAACAAAGCGCGCAATTTTAGGGTAATAAAATTACCAGAGATTCAACAAATTCGATAGAACATGTATTAATTCGACTTTCTTTGTTTTCAGGAGTTGATAAGCACTGCTATAGAGACGCTGTTCTACCTGATAGCCTTTATCGTGATGTTTACATCGATATATGGCACCTATGGACGCAACGTTGCTGCTGCAGTAAGTAGAATTCCTTGCGGTAATACATACAGACTTATAGATAAACAGTCTGAGGGTAACATTCTTATAAATTACCAAAGGAATAGTTTTATTCTTTAAGGATTTTTTTTAAGATAATATTTGAAATAGTTGTAGGAAAAAAGCGCTTAAAAAAAGTATTTTCGTTTATAATATTGCAGAATTTATTGATGCTTAAAATGAATCTAAAAAAGTACATGACGTTATAGTTTGCCTTATCTAATCACATTCGGAAACAAGTGTTCACCTTTGCTGAGATCATCAACGCTTTAGTCACGAACTTAAAATAAATCATCTGAGTAATATTTTCTTTAACCAATTGTTGTTATAAACAAGTTAATTACGAGCACCAAACATAAACTCGCTTTTGATAAAATTACCTGATAATAATGATTTATTTGTTTTGTACTGCGAAGTTGATTTCGGTTTTGATAAAATATACTCGTAAAAAGTGTTGATAATTCACTTGTAATATAAAAAAATGGTGCATTAGATAGTGCATTTTGGAGCTCCTAACATTATATCCTTTGTGTGTAAATAAAAATTCTAAACTAGTAAAAAAAATTGTCTTCACTCAAAAAAATAAAAATTATACTTATTTGTCCACAATAAACTTAACATACTAGAACTAAACATTTTTTATAAATTAATATGTCAAAAAGAGGTAAAAGGATAATATTGTTTTTACATTATTTGTGACTTCTAACTCAAGCTGGTAGCATATAATATATACTATCGCTATGGAGCTGTTTCGAAACACGTTATATAACAATAATACATGAATTGAATGTATTTTATTAATAATTAACTTCATATAGTCAACTCGTTCTTAAGTTTACCTACATTAACATTTCATTAAAGCACTGATCAAAATTTAGCACTATACTTCATACATTGTTTTTAATTCTTAAAAGGCCGGCAACGCACTGATATTGAGAGTGTCCATGGGTGGCGGTACCACTTAACATCATGAGCCTCCTGCATGTTTGCCCGTGTTCTATAAAAAAAATAACTACATTGTTGTAGATACATGATACATATCAATAATTTTTACAGGTATTTGGTATCTTCAACACCGTGGCGTATGGCTACAGCTCCTACTTGCTGTACAACGAGCACAGAAACGGTGCATCAGGCTTGGCGTGAGCTTAATAAGGCTTGCGCGGCAAATAACCTCCGAACAATATTAAGTTTATTATGGTTTAGCTGTAATTTTAAAATTATCTCAATGTACAGCCAATATTATAATTTTGCACCGTTTGAATTAATATGCGATTTTTATGAATTAATAAGATTTAATGTTAGTCTATTAACGAAAAGGAAATTATTTTAAAGGCCATAAGATACCAATGATATTGGTTACAGGTTTTATTTATTATTGTTCTGATTGTGTTCATGTGACTATTGTTTACTTTTAAAACTTTTATATTTTTGCTGAATTTTCAATCATTAACGCTTTCAAACGCCTATCTTTGACTTTTTTTACAAAGTTTCATCTTCTACTTAAATCTATAGCTTTTAATTATTTATTATATTTGACTGCGTTTGACTAAGTCTCGAAAAAAAAACAAATTTAATATATATACGTATTTTCTCAATTTTGTATTTATCTATAAATATCAAATGAATAAATAATCATGAATTCAGCTAAGTTCTTGTCTACTAGAAACTAGAGTCTATATACATATGCTCCTTGCGTATGTTTTCGACTTCACTGATAATCTAGTGAGTTTCGTAGTGGAAGAGAATACATTTAATTGATTGAAGATTCAGCTTCTAGCGTTGTAAGTTATGTTTGTGGATACTTTCAGCTATTAGCCCAAAGTTCACAGATTTTCGTTAAATACCACTTAGCTTACAACACGAGGTTAGGTTATATTCGGTGAGCTTTGGTCTTAATGTTTCTTGTACTGACGTCATAAACCGTCCAAGTTTGTTGTCATTTGACATAGTTTATTAAAGTTACACGTATTTGCATGATTGCACATTTCTTTAATTATAAAGCCTAGTCGAGAATAATGATTAATTCATATTCAAAAAGGTTTCATTGTTATATACTTTACATGTATTACTTGGGGGTTTTAAGGGTTACGTAAGAAAAGACAACAGTTTGGCATTTCATTTTTTTATATTTAGATTTACGGAGTTTAAATTTTTTCTCTCGAATTTAATTAAATTTTGATTAGAATTTTCTTTTACTTAGGTTATATCTAATTATTAAATCGAGTACCTTCTATTAAATGAGACTATATTTCACAATTATAGATTAATTTATAAACTAATTTGTAAAAATATAATAAATGTATGTTAACAAAGCTATCTTTTATTGGTTTCTTTAATTTGCGACGCGCAACGAGTGCGCGACAACTCGTAGCTTTATAATATTACGGCTTTTAATTAAGAGTAGTTGTTCCATTTTTAAAATTTAAATTGTACTTGTTTTGTTTAATGTATCCTAACTAAAGAACTGATTTGAAATTGTTTTATTTGGTGGAGGTTGAATATAGCGGTTGCAAAAAACCGGGCGTACAAAATTTTAAAGTTTTAGATTTGTATAAATATGAACAAGACCTTAAAATTAGTTTGCCTAAGAAGTTTCACTGCTGACCTGGGTACTTTGTACGCAAGCACTTTTTTTGTATTTTAAGACACAATTATGTTTGAACAATTGAAATTAAATGCATCTCAATAACAAGAAACCGTAATCCGTCGCTAATGAAGTGTCGTATCCGATAAAATGGTTATGTACTAAGAAACTTAATTTGTTATATTTTTTTAATAAAGTGTTAATGTGGGAATTATGGGTTAAGCATTCAGCCTCTGGGAATCACGCTCTTGGGGACCGCGGCGTGTTTAATATGACGCATGTGATGCAGCCTAACACGAGTGGTGAAGAAACATCCTAGATACTTATGATATGAAATATGATAAAACTTTTAACCAAGTATATAAAAATCGACTATAAAAAAATAGATCTTTTGAAGAACGATAAAAACTTTCGAACCCAACGACAGGTAACATGCACCAAATATGGTTAGGAATCAAACCTCTTGAAATTAAAAAAATAATTTTATGTACTATTTACTATATTATAAAAGAGTACCGAGAGTTTTTTTATTCCGGCTTTTTCTCTCGGCCTACACCCTCTGTCTTCTTTGCCGATGAGTAGGGATGTCTAACGATTCAAATTTAATGATATAATAAACATATTTTATTTACTTTTTTTACCATTTCATTGGATAGTATTCCCTTCTACAATAAAAACAACGTACTTTTATTAACATAGCGCGCATAGACAAGACCCGAAGGCTCCTTGAACGGGGACCTCGGCAGAACTAAAGATCACGTGGCCGCCCATCGATGAGATAAACTAAACACATCAGTAATAATGCAGGCTGCTAATGGATGCAAAAGGCGCCACGCCGGTCGATTTAAAGGAGAATGGAGGACACCTACGTCTTAAGACAGACCTAAAAAAATGGCTGATGATGATTCCTTTTAATGAATCGCGACCAGTGTAACTAGTGGTTAAGCGTGCTACTCTAAGCCTTGGGTCTTGGGATCTCACTTTAGAGAACCTTAAAGATCTGGCGAAAAATTCGATGGTGTGTAGGTATTAGCACAGAAAGCTGCTGATCACATATACCGATATTGTCAAAAACGCAAAAATGTTTCTGCACCATATATCATTACGGAGTTTATTCTACTTAATAAAAACCTTAACAATAGGGGCATTGTATATCTTGCGAGATATACATGAGAGTTACGACTATATGTTGTATAGCCTTACGCATGCGCAAAGCCACAAGTGAGTCAGCGTCTGATTTGTTGCAATCAGCAGTTGTTCAGTCGCAGTTCGCCGAGTTGCGCGCTATTTTCGCGGATTTCCACTGTCACTTGCATTTTGGAAAACTATAAAAAATGTAAGTACGTTGTGTCACTTAATAATAACTATGTGTCATTTCTGTTTATAGAGTTTATTTATTTATACAATAATGATTTATTAATTAATAATGATTATTTAACACTTGTAAGAACATATTAATAAATATAGATACATAGAAATAAAGATATTTAATATGTATTTATTTGAGTTTAAAACGTTTTTCCTGTTATCCTTGGCATAACTGATATTGTATATTATAGAGAATAAATACTTGAACGAGTTATATTTTGAACCATAGACCCTAAAATGCATTAGCGTCAAACTATAATTCCAAATTTAAATTACCATAAGGTGCCAGATGTTTCAACGTGGTTATTATTCCATGGGTACTCAATGATATGTTTATACGCGCGGTTCCAGGCGGCCTCGCCTTATAAAACTCGCGTCGGCACGCCAACGCGTTGACCTAGACCGAACATTTTGGGTGATGGTGTAATGCTTATTGACATATTAAAAAATAAATACGCACTTTTCGCAATAGGTCCTCAATACAGACGATTTCCGGACGACCGTACCCTTCACTATCAACGGTAACCAAGTATTTTACAAACGTTTCTTAAATTATTTCATTTTATGTCACATCACAATTGTGTACTTGTACATTTTCATGCAAGCAGTTTGCTATCGTTTACTACAGAGGTCATTTGTAAAACCGAATGAGACATTAGGTGCTGTGAATAGCAAAATTATTAATTAAGTATGAGTACATATTTATAAATATTTTTGTACAGTATACTCCTACATGCTTTATTTTTCACTATATGTATAGCAGCACCACCCAAACATAAGATTTTATTTTCTGAGCCTATTAATGTTTATATATTTAAATAATAAACGTTTAGAATATCATTTATAATTCAAATGTAACAAAACTTATTTAAATTTGGAATAATGTTACTTCGTTACTTTAGAGGTGCAGATTATACTTTGTCTATGATTTGTATGATCAAAGGCAAAGTCTACACTTCATTACAACGATTTCATTTCGGCATAAAGTTCTCGTTACTAGGCCATTAAACATTTTAAAAAAACATGCCATTTTGTGTATTCTAATTTCAAACATATTGCCGTGCTTATACACATACATCAATTTTTTACAGACACCAGCAATGTCACACACGGTAACCATAACGAGGACAACTGCTACCACATCGGGTTCGCCGCTCTTTGTCAACACTAGCTACATTGGCACTTTACCTGGCTTACTTAAATTGGCACAACTGGTATGATTCTTAACAATTATTTAGTAGAATACCCCGTCATATTGACTTGCCCTGCGTGGTGACTTTATGGGTCAAACAATTTTGTTAATGCGTTTAGTCTGACGTTCATCTGTTCGACTATCGGGATAACATTTTGGTTTAAATGGGTCAGTCAGTCGTGTCGAGTCGGTCTCAAATCAGTCGTGAAGCAGTCATTTTATGATTTGGCATTCTGAAAAGGTGGGAGCTTGTAGTTTATTGTTTATCGGACTGCCGATGCGAAAACCGCGGTGTGAGTTCGAAAAGTGAGTTACAGAATCGCAGGGCAGTTGTAATCAGCTTATGAGTTATGACTCACTTTCTGTTATCCGCAGCTTCCTGCGCGCGAAATAGAATTTGAAACGGTAAATTTAAAACAACTTATTATATTATGCAACGAGTATTTAAAACTATTACTTTAGTATATACACAAATTAAACATACACACATTCAAAGAGAAAAATAAAATAATAAATATAAAAATTTATCTTCTCTTCAAGAGATTCACAAAAATACTTCATTAAGGGTATAATTCTATTTGGTTGAAGAATTGCGTTGATGAATCAGTTAATATGTAGGTTGTGTAGACTGGTTTGTTAAAAATTATTAAATGTACCTTTCTGCCTTATAATCAATGGTTAGAAACTAAACCAGGTTATACGCCAGTTAACCACTAAGCCACGAAGGATATCCTATTTTTGATTGACCTATTTTACCGTTACGAAAATCGTTGGAAGAAAATATATCTACACATGTATAAAAATTAGGTCAAGGTATGTCAACATTTAACATTATTTCCCTTATATTTTGTATTGCATTTTAATAATGTCTCATTATTGATTTTAAAAATATATTGTAGTGCTATCAGTGGTTTTGTCTTTATATGTTTTAATTTAAAAATAGTTCGTATATAAAATTAGCAAACAATATAAAGTGACTTAATTAGTCATCTCAAACAAAATTATTAATTGAATTATTTGTGAATGATGTCATGTTGCCATCATACCATAGCTCTACCGTCTCCATCAAATATTTCATAAATTAATATTTACCATATATTAATAGATTTTATATAAACATTCTAATTATAATGTTTGATATAAAATATCGATTCGATGGGTTGATTTATTATTTATTGTTACAAAAGTAATCTTCTACAATTTTAGGTAAATTTGTCGAAAACCAGCTCAATTTTTTTTCTATCGTTCTTTACGACTTGTATACGATAAATGCATGCATGTAAATGATATTGTCTCAGTTTCCAGTGAATTACATTAGTTTAGGTTTTTTTTATATTTTTGATTCTAAGTGGCGTTTGTGACCAGGTTAGGTTAGGTTAAACCCAAAAATGTACCTTCTTTCATTCATTTCACGAATCATAATTTTTTAATTTATCTATGGGGTTAAAGAGCATTCGCCACCATATTTTTGTATGGTACACCATTGCCGAGTGATGAAAATATATAGAAAAAATTTGGAGCTGTTAAGGATTCGACAAATTCACCCAATTTTACAATGCGAGAGCGTATCAAAGATATGTTTTCACTAGCGGAGGGAAAGGATTCCGAGATTTATATTTGCATTAGAGCTTTGTATTACAAGTACTAAACGTTTTGTATTTTACGAGGAAGGCTGACCTTTTACAGGGTCAAATAGTTTAAGGAATGTCGACTGTTTCGTTGATGTCATGTTTTCCTATTAACACTAGATCCTAAGGTCTAACCAAAGGTCGATCTTTTAATTTTCAACGAAAAATATTTTTCAAAACACAGGGATAATAACTTCAATGTAACTTAATTAGTAAATTTAATGTTATACATAAATTCAACTTATATTTTGGATGTTTGTGTTTTGAGGTCCGGTATGGTCCGGAAAGCAAGAAAACATGAAGCAGACACATTTTGTCCTCAGAGCCCACGAAATAGAAAAAAAAATCTGACGCCTCTATTCACTGGCAATGGCCTAATGAATAGATAAATGGTACTTCGGGGTAGAGGATGTTTTGGCGGCTCCGAAAAATATATTTATGCTTATTCTAAAAAACCACTCCGATGCGCTCTCAAATATAAACAATGTGCTGTTCGCTTTGAAGTTCGAATTGTTTGAGTTTAACAAATTATTGAATATCTCGAAAACCGAGGGACTCCTCTCAAACTCAAAATAACTTTATTCATATAGGTAACCAAGTACACTTATGAACGTCAACAGCAAAGATGTTAAATTGATTCTAAATTTACATTTACTACCAGTTCGCAAGTCAAGGGCGTAGAGCGGCCAACTCTCCGCCTCTCTTTTTAATCGCCAAGTTTTGAGTCATACAAATTGTTTGTAAGGCAGAGCAGCCATAATATTTGAACTGGAACAAATCATTCCCAAGGATTAGGATCATTTAAATAATCGTCAAATTTATAAAAAGCTTGGTTGATTAATTTACGTTTAACTCTACTCGCAGGTACCATATTATCCATTGATTACGCCATACCTACCCATAAATCGAATCCAGACCCTGTTGTGCGTTAAGTACTACGCCACGCCGATTGTTCGATACAACTTAATTATCCATTTCTACATTGATTTAGGTTTGAAATTTTGTTAAGATTATTGAATAATTTTTTTCTAGCTACTTGGAGCGGCCTGCGTCGGTGTGGTTAGCTATTACTTCGAGCCGAGATATGTGAAATACAATGATCAGAAACCAGAGTTATTCTTCCTTCTAATATCAGTGGCATTTTTAATAGGAACATTCTGTTTGCTTCTGTCGTGCGTAATGTCATTTTCAACAGCTACTATGATATCCAAAACGTTGTATGTAAGTATATTTGGAGTAGTAAAAAAGAGAGTAATAAAAAAAATGTGTGTATATAAAACAATTAATTATTATAATGTGTAAGATTTGGGATCCCTTTTAAGTAAAAAAATACCTGTGTCAGGGTCGCAGCTGTTCCATAACAAACGTAAATTCCATAAAAATGTTTTTTAATTATTTTTGTTTTAAGTAAATAACTGAATAACAACTACTAATAAAGTAATTAAAATCTATAGATTCTTAAGATTAACTTAGTAAGAATTTTGAATATTCTCCATTCATCCGTATTTGGTAAAAATCACTACTAAACGAATTCTATAATTTTATATATAAAATCGCTACGTCTGAACTATGCAAATCAATATAAAATACTGTCAAAAGATTAAGCTAACCCTCTGAGAAAAATCCATGCTATTGCTTCGTCAGAATATTTATTGATAATTGTTACATTTCAGGAAGTCGTATATCACGGGATTGCGTTCGTGCTCTACCTAGCGGCGGGTCTTACGCTTTTGATAGAAGTGAATCATCGGAGAAGTGGCTATAGGAATGATTTTGAACCCTACCTGGCTGCCGCTGTAAGTGTTTCATTTATTTTTATAATATGTCGTATTCCGAATCGTTTCTTTCGTTAAGAGCAGTGTAGCCTAGTGGCTTCAGCGTGCGACTGTCATTCCTGAGTAGGACCGATCCCTGCACTTTAAACATTAGCTAGAACGGTGTAAGAAAACATCGTGAGAAAACCGGCATGCCTTACCAAAAATTCGACGGAGTGTATCAGGCACAGGAGGCTGATCACCTACTTGCCTATTAGATTTACAAATGACCATGAAACAGATACAGAAATCTGAGGCCCAGACCTAAAAAGGTTGTAGTTATTGTTTAGTGGTTATTATTTTTTTTAATTGTAAATATAGTAGTAGATTCGCTTACGAGTAAACGAAATTAACATTAATAAATTTACAATTTCAATAAAAAAAAAATAGTTTTTATATTTTTCATTTTGGCCCGTCGTTTCAGGCCAATTGGTTACGTTTCACAAATAGTCAAATCGTGACAAATTTATTCAAATAATTGTAAAAGTGTGATAATTTTACGTTTCAATACGCAATACTTACCGTTTTTTTTACTTTAATCACCGTTTTTTCAGGTCATGGGTCTCGTGATGGCGATCCTTTATTTATTCAGTACATTCTTGGCGAACCGCACCTACAGAGGCTTATAATTTGTACGACTATGAATAATATTGTTAATTAAGAACTAATTTATTGTGTATAAGGTTTTGAATGGACATAGTTGATTAACAAGCGCATGTTATACTGGTCTGAAGTTTATAACATTACATGGAGAATTAGTCTTTATACTCTAAGCGAAAATATTATTAACTTTTTAAAAGTAATAAAAATATCTTTGAGCTAAATACCGAGAATATTACTAATAATTACGAATATTATCACTATATTTAAATTGAAGGATATTTTTATTAAATATTAATGTTGCTTTTGAGTACTTAAAACGTCTAGAGTCTAAGTGATGTTAAAAAATTGTACATTGTGATTATGATTTTTGCGCGAACAACACATTTTAATTTAAGTTGATTTGTATGTACCCACATAAACAGTCATACAAAGTAGAACCAAAGACAATTAAAGTAATAAACCAGCAATGTTCCTATACAAATTAATTTACCGAAAATTCTGGCTAGAGTGGGATAACTCTTTCACTCTTCATCATTGCTACGTTTCGCAAAAACTTATTTTAACTAAAATTTGTGTTTAAATAAGATTTACCATTGCGGCTATTTCATTGCAATGGTGTGTCTATTTACTTTAATTGTCTTTGCTTTAATTAAATTGATTGTCCAAAGTGTATTATGGTATGTATATTACCAAAATCCTTATGTGTTTTTATATTTAATATATTGGTGAATTAAATATACGTCCAAATTAATATATGTAAGTAATTGAGTTTCATCATCGGAAGTCGAGGTGATATTTAGATGGAATTTCGTATTATTTCCGTCGTTCCACAACTGATCGTTTTGTAAGGCAGTTTTTGGCGCGCACCACCACTATGTGGAACCAGCTACCCACTGAAGTATACCGACTTCAGGAAATGAGCGTACTATTAAAAGGCTGGCAACGCACTTGCGAGCCTTCTGCCAGTGTAAGTGTTCATAGGTATCACTTAATATCAGATGAGCCTCAAATTTACCCCCTGTTCTATAAAATAAAGCTGAGGGGGAAATGTCGGATGAATTATTTCACTTTAAATAATGGCTATTGATTTGCCTTTGAAAATAGTTTACTATATAATCTAGTTATAAGTATAGATGCCTTTACACGAATAAAACAGGATATATTGTTCTAAAATTATAAGCTGTGCCTTTTGTGACAAATTCTCGAACATTATATTTTTTAAGATATTTAAACAACGTGCTTTCGTGCTTCTTATATGTAATTTATTTATTCTATGATTTTTAAGCCAGCATGTCCAGCACAACTGGAAGTATAAATTATATTATGTATATTTATAACAGAATGTTATATTTTATCACATCTACTCCTCTTTAGTCAAGAGTAGATTATATACAAAATATTTATTGAACTGTTTATATAAACGTAAAAATTACTTAGTGAGACTAATGTTACCGAAATTTTTATTAAACATGTTCATTGCGAAAAACATATACAATTCAGACCGTTACATAATATTTGGCATAATATAATTGCGGCAGAAGCTTTTTGAGGTGAATATATTTATGCTTGTTATCTAAAAATAATAATAGATCGTAAAAGAAACACAGAAAAAGAAAATAAAACTATTAGCAACAAAGGTCACACATAAAAAAGATTGTATAGTCTTCATGTCTTTGAAATGGTAAAGTAATTCAGCATTCCAAATTAAACAAACTAAAGATATTGTTCATCAGACAGGTATTTTTTCAACACACAAATATACAATATTCTTAACTAACATAGTAAAAATATTAATAAATAAAAAAGGGATAAATGGATATAATAGAAAATTAAAACAAATTTAAAAAAATTTGTCCCTGTGGCAGTACCTTTAACGCTGGCAACATTTCATCGTTGTATTGCGATACTTATTCGTTGAGCGAGGAAAGCACTAGCTGGGGTACACCGGTACAAAAGTTAAAAAGAGCGCTGTCATACCACATCAACTATTCGATTTTTTGGCCGGAGTGAACATTTCAAACATTATTTTATAAGTATGTAATATATATAACGCTGTTCTGGGTCAATATACGACTTTTTAATACTGATATTGAGGTGGTTGTATGGACACTGAATTACTAGTCTCTTTTGTAAGATTTGTATTAATTATTACTTAAGCACATTATTGTATGTTTTTAAAATTGCCTCTGAATTTCCATTAATTCTGGTAAACTTAACACTTATTTTTCAACTTACTTGATGGATGTTTTTATAAAAATATTTCTACAAATTATACATTTATAATTTTATAAATATGTCTTTTATTTACTATATTTTATTCCTAATCAGACAGAAATTTAGAAAATTTAAATTTAAAATCTAATCTCAAGAGTTATAACGTTTGAGCATTTCTAATAGTTCACCAAACTACATGATGCTTTAAAAACTGGCCTGAAACTCTTTACCATCATTTGTAGTTAAAGTCACGGGCTCGCCATGTATTAAGGTATTTATAGCTTACGAAACAAAGAATGGTATGAGTAAATGTATATTAGAGGACACCCTCCTGCAGCGCGTGCGCATCTATTTTCGTTTAGGATATGATCCTGACACGCGCAGCAGTCAAACCAACTATTCTGTTCGTGTGGTCGTTCGATTTATAAAACTAAATTGTGTTGAGAGCAATTGTGTTATTAGGACGGAGAGTTTAATGAACTGTGTGCGTGCGAAAATTGTCTAAAAATATTTTTGACTAACGCGCGAGTGTAAACTCAATTTCCTGTCGGGTCAAACAAAGTTGTTTGTTTCGCGTATACAGGTCTGGGTCTAATTTTTTGTTAAAAATGACCCGAGGTCCTACCATAGTGCGTGTGGCGCCGAATTCTGGCCGTGGTATTAAGTGCTGTTGTTGTAGATGCTGCGAATGCATCAATTTTGGCTATTTAACATCTCAACATGGATTAATTAAATTAACGGAAGCTGTAAGTACTCATTTTGAATAAAATATTAATTATGTATAGTGGAAAGCACCAAGGAGTATCTATCCGTATTACTGATATTTTTACCGAATATTGGAAATCAAAAGAGGCTAAAGAGGCTACTGTAAGAGGAATTAAATAGTGTCCTAAAGCTTAATTAATGGCATTTGTGCGTTTGCTTGCTAGGATCTACCCATATTTCAGTTCCTTTAACTTTAATAAATTAGGTTTAAATAATTTGTTACTTTTATTAATTTTTTAAATTTGATACCTAAATAAAAGAGATATTAGCTATTTGAGGTTCATAGTACGCTATTAACAACGGATATAATTACTTAAAGATACCAGTATTTATTTCCAACACACAAATATACAATATTTAGAACCAACATTGTAATAATATTAATTAAAAAATAATAAATAGAAAATTCAAACAAATTTAAAAAGTTTGTTCGCTGTGGAAGTGTACCTTTAACGCTGGCAGCATTTCCTCGCTGTATTGCGATACTTATTCGTTGAGCTAGGAAAGCTCCAGCTCTGGGGTCACCGATACTATCTACCAGGCGCCAACATAAATCTTTAATTAGCGCCTGTGCATTTGATCCCCACGGCCTAGGAGTCTCTACTTCAAAGGAAACATAATTCTCCACCTGCTATGCGGCCGTGTCCTAACGTGTCCATACAAGTAGCATCCCATACAAAACATCCTCCAATGGCATTCCATCCGGCAGCTTGCTATTGTCTCTAGCGATGCCTTGTGGCTCCAAAATGGCTGGAACAATGGAGGCCATGGTGTCAAAGGCTACTTCAAAGCCACTACGACACTTATTGGGAGTACATATGGGCACTCCTAAGCGGAGGCTGTTGGCAATGCGAAGTGATTCAGGGTCCTAAAAGGTGCCAGTGTTTAGCGAAGTATAGCACTAAGCCCATGACCGGCTTCCCTAGACCCCACTGCCACCAACCTTGCGCGGTCAATGTATCTTGTTTTTTTGGAAAAATTTGTGAGATAAAAAAAGTCCCTGGACACAATGGCAGGGGAGTAGAGTATTATCAATAATAATAAAAAATAAAAACCTTGCGCGGTGTGTAATTGAAGTGTTCTGGAATTGAGATTTACAAAGAGGATCATCCCAGCTAGTTTGATAGTTGACGCTAGAAGGCAACTCATGCCTGGGTCGGATTCTAACCACGCATTTCTCGCATCTGTTAAATCCGCACTCTCGTAATTTATAGAATAAGATCTAAAGATTTTACCTACTAGACTGCTAGATTTGTGAGCAGATAAGAGAAACGCTGGAAGAGTTATATTTGTTATCTTTCGTATTCCTAATCCGTCAAAGCGAATAGGGAGCGAGGCTTGATTCCAAGAAGATGTTTCAAAACAAACGTTTAAAATAGATTCCGAAGAAGTTTTTAAAAGATTATCGAAATCACGTGATAGAACTGAATGATTCCATAGAGGGCTACAGCAAAGTACATAAGTTCAGTTGGGAATAAAAAGACAGAATTTAAAATAAATAGTGCTCAGTGGGCGGTATTATCCAGAAGACGGTGAGAAAGATCTTTAAATCTTTGATATTTATAAATTAATTTATTCCTCAAAAGCTTGTTTGAAAATCGGTGGCCCTGAGAGGTTATTTTTGTTTTATTATTTTTATATTTGGGACTATGGTAATTTTTTTATTGTGCCGTCGGTGTGCAAATTTTTACCATGGAGATATAGGTCACATTTATCAAAATTTAAAATTAGACCTATTGAACTAAAATCTGATATAATCTTACCGAATGATCTAAAAGTACAACATCTGCGATCATAGAGTACCATTATCAAGATACAAGACGTTAAAATTTGATTTTAAATTTTGTATACAGTAATTTATTGAGAGCAATTGTGTTATTAGGACGGAGAGTTTAATGAACTGTGTGCGTGCGAAAATTGTCTAAAAATATTTTTGACTAACGCGCGAGTGTAAACTCAATTTCCTGTCGGGTCAAACAAAGTTGTTTGTTTCGCGTATACAGGTCTGGGTCTAATTTTTTGTTAAAAATGACCCGAGGTCCTACCATAGTGCGTGTGGCGCCGAATTCTGGCCGTGGTATTAAGTGCTGTTGTTGTAGATGCTGCGAATGCATCAATTTTGGCTATTTAACATCTCAACATGGATTAATTAAATTAACGGAAGCTGTAAGTACTCATTTTGAATAAAATATTAATTATGTATAGTGGAAAGCACCAAGGAGTATCTATCCGTATTACTGATATTTTTACCGAATATTGGAAATCAAAAGAGGCTACTGTAAGAGGAATTAAATAGTGTCCTAAAGCTTAATTAATGGCATTTGTGCGTTTGCTTGCTAGGATCTACCCATATATCAGTTCCTTTAACTTTAATAAATTAGGTTTAAATAATTTGTTACTTTTATTAATTTTTTAAATTTGATACCTAAATAAAAGAGATATTAGCTATTTGAGGTTCATAGTACGCTATTAACAACGGATATAATTACTTAAAGATACCAGTATTTATTTCCAACACACAAATATACAATATTTAGAACCAACATTGTAATAATATTAATTAAAAAATAATAAATAGAAAATTCAAACAAATTTAAAAAGTTTGTTCGCTTTTTTAAAAGATTATCGAAATCACGTGATAGAACTGAATGATTCCATAGAGGGCTACAGCAAAGTACATAAGTTCAGTTGGGAATAAAAAGACAGAATTTAAAATAAATAGTGCTCAGTGGGCGGTATTATCCAGAAGACGGTGAGAAAGATCTTTAAATCTTTGATATTTATAAATTAATTTATTCCTCAAAAGCTTGTTTGAAAATCGGTGGCCCTGAGAGGTTATTTTTGTTTTATTATTTTTATATTTGGGACTATGGTAATTTTTTTATTGTGCCGTCGGTGTGCAAATTTTTACCATGGAGATATAGGTCACATTTATCAAAATTTAAAATTAGACCTATTGAACTAAAATCTGATATAATCTTATACCGAATGATCTAAGAGTACAACATCTGCGATCCTAGAGTACCATTATCAAGATACCAGACGTTAAAATTTGATTTTAAATTTTGTATACAGTAATTTATTGAGAGATTTAATAAAGCCGGCCGAAGAGGATCTCCTGGTTGAAAACCAACTTCTGAAGAGAACACGTAACTCTTGTTTGTTAAATTTGATGGCTCTAAGTAGCTCTGTAAAAGATAGTTATATATTTCTGGAATGTTTTCAGAAGCCTATGTCAACAAGGTGTCCCTTATTGAATTAAATGCATTTCGACGTCAACTTTCAACAACACATCAAATTTTTCGTTATTAAAAAGACTGGGCAAAGCGTGTATAGCGTGTATTCTTCTTTCTTACAGATTAATAACGAATCATTAATGTATAAGCCCAAACCTGCATTGGCAAGTTCGTATATTTTTTAAATCACAATAAAAGTGTGCGTAAGTCACGCACACAAGGCCCATTTTTTGGTTGGCCCAAGTTTTTGAAAGCATCAAATCCTGCTTACTAATTTCTGTAGATTTAATTATTTATATGATCGATATTTCTTTTTCAGTTATTGGGTTCCCTGTGCCAGAGTCTTCTCGTGAAGTATGGTCTGTCAGAAGCCAGCAGCATGGGCTCAGCTTTCCACGGATTCCTTACTACAGCATCAGCCTGTCTCCTTACAACATCATTACTTATAGCTTGTTATGTTCTCTCATCAAACTCACAGAGCTTAATACGCCAGTCAATATTCGTAAGTATATTAAAAAATCTATTCAACGTACTTTAATTAAATCGTATTCAATAAATTAACAAATGTAGAAACTCGTACTATGATGCTTTAAATTAATTCTAATTAAATATGCTTTTACTGAAAGCATGTACTACTGTACCTACACTATGAAAACAACACGATACACAACTTTCATAATTACTACTTAATTTTTTTATATATACCACAAGTTTTTCTACTCAAAACTTACTTTCTTTATACTGGTAATTGACATACGTAATTAAAGCGATGTATCTTGATATTTTTTTTAAGTTTAAGGTAGGTTAGCTATGTAGGGGAAGATCGTTACCCTTCGTACGCGGGACACATTCATACAGTCAAAATAAAACTTGAACGAAACAAAGTACAGTCTTGTTTTTGTATGTGTGCATGAGTCGAGGTACCAACTATACATCAACAAAGTTTCGCGAAATTCGCACCGATGAGAGTGATGTTACAGGCATGGACGTGTTTTCGCGCTCGGTAAGTAATTTTTTGATCAATGTTTTTGTCTCTTGTTACCGTAGATAAAATAAGTTTTCGTGTAGAGTATTCTATCAGTAACTAGCAACTATACTTAAGATACGTCTCCAATACTTAATTTATGACGTTTTCCTATTAATATTAAAATAAAGTTATATTTTGTTGTTATTAAGTTAGTGGGGTACTTTCGGACAGCACTAGATGGGGCACATTTGAACGAATTGTACAACTAAATTTGTATGAAAATATTTTGTTGACACGAACTGTCATTTTCATACAAATAAAGTTTTCGACTTGCTACGTACACTACTGTTAAGGCATCTTGACTAAACCCTCTGGTAGGTAGGAAAGATTGTGTTAGTGTGATAATTGCTAATACATATTTGCATTAACTTTGTCCTGTGTTGCTATCATTGCTATCGTCGATGTAAATATATATTAATACCTTTTTCTTATTATCTTTATTAAGGTTGATTTTGATGCTTGTGAACCAGATGCTTTGAATAATTTACCAATCCATCACATAGTAGTTCCTTCGAAGTCAGTTTTGACACCAGAAGCGTTTCGACCCTATCCGCATGTTGTAAGAAGAAATAAAACAAACAAAATGACGACGACGGCCAGGAAAACCACGAATTTATACTGCCACACCCGAAAATAAGAAGTGCTAATCCGCACCAAAGATTAAAAAATGTGATTCTAAATTTAAGATACCGTAATTAAATTTTGTTTTACTTAAGAAAAGCTATGTAATTTTTGTTCAGTATAAGAAAAGTATTTTATTTTTGTTTAATAGAAGTTAAATCTTTATTTTTGTGTTTAATTTCATTGCTAATAAATGAATTTTGATTTATATGTGTCGTTTTAATCGCACGTACGGAACTACCCCACAGCGTACGAAGGTACCCCCAACACTGTACGAAGGTGCCCCGTTGATGGGGCAGATTCGTACGTATTCCAGATTTAGTTTAAATCATAATTATGGTTGAAACATCAGATGAAAATATAATTTGTCATTTTTTAATATGAATCTCAGATAGTAAGACTATAAATTTAAGCTATCAGATGATTGATTCATGGAAAAATAAATAAATAAAAAAATGAAAAAAGAAAATGTGAAAACCGTACGAAGTGTTCCCCAACATCGTGCTATCAAATTATTAGAAAATAAGCTATATGAAATAAAAATATTAGTTGCCCTGTAAATATTAAAATATAAACTATAAAAATAATTTCTTAGACGCTTACTCACAGATATAAAATGATTAATAATATTAAAAAAAATTACATAACCAAATACACAGAATTCAATTTAACTACAATCCCACACGTGCCCGGTATTATACTAATCATATACATCTAGTATAGTAGTAGTAGTAGTAGTGTAGTAGTGGACCCGTTTCGAATACGCTTTCGTTTTTTTGTAGATGGACTCTGTGCCGTGATTTCTTTTCTTTTTATGTTTTTAATATTATTTTTCTTATGTAAGTGACATGTATGTTTTTAACGAGAATCAATCTAAGTTTGATAATGGAATATGAATAGGTCTGTTTAGCTAATTATCTTAAATTATAGACAAGTAGATGATTTCATTTTGATTTGGAAATGGAATACGACTAAAGGCGGTTTATTTAACCGAATCCAACTCAGTCAAAGCAAAGTAGACATAAGTCTCCACATTACACCGTAGTGATTAAGACCTAGATATGTTATATTTTCGAGGTTTATGTACAATTTGAAAGTTGATACGCTTCGATAGCGGAAGTTACACAAGGCTTTATAAAAATGCAATTATATATCCAATGAATACTGAATCGAACGAGTCTGTCTTATGCAACCTGTGTTGCAATGAATGCAATCTAAGACATACAATGATAACCTTAATATCCATTGTTGTACCTTATACAATGTTCATTTCGCTGTAAGGGAATATAAACATTTTATGACACGATGATGAATATGAATTCTACAGAAACGATGTGTGTTCTTGCCTATTTAAACATTTAATTATTCACACTTCGTTACATTTATACAAAAACCAATAACATACAACATAAAAACTATAAGGGATGCAACGGGCAAAAAACGAAATATGATGGGTAAAGTGCAAGAAGTGCATAACCAAATCTTATAAAAAAATTATAGATAAATCTAAAATATTATAAGAAATATTAATAAAACAAACATAAAACTAAAAAGATAATCCCACGGATTCATGAATTGCAATGTAATACAAAAGAAAAAGAAATACAAGAATTACAAATTACATTCGTAAAGGTTATAGAATTATTGTTCGTTAATTGTGATAGCAGTTTTCCATTAAAAAAAACCCCGCTACAACCTTTGGTCATGGCAGAATACTGTATACGTTTCTAGATATTTACTTTATAGATAAGTAGGTGGTCAACATTCGATACATCCTATTTGGCCTTAGGTATGCCGTATCACGTCTACCGTGCTTCACAGCCGTGATTCTAAAGCCCGATCAAGGTGGAGAGCAGGGCAACAACTATTCATTTATACAAAGATATTTATTATGTTTCAGGAGTGCGTATTTAACTCGGTGGCATGTTTCATGTACCTGTCAGCGTCGTCGTACATGGGCGTTGCCGTAAACATATATCTGTACCCACGCTATGCTATTGTAAATATGTACGCCGCATATCCCGCTATGACTGCCGTATATGTAAGTAACGCAAGTTTAAGATCCCGCAATCTCGCAGTGGGGCATGGGACAAACATATTTCCGCCATTTAAACCATTAGTACAAACCATTGTATTTACATTAGAGATTTTAATAGCATCAACATTAAAGATTTTGGGTGTTTTTCCATTTAGAATGAATTTCCTATATTCTGTGAATTTAAAGATTAGCGCACTGCGCAGAAACGTGCGCTGTGTTGTGTGTTAAGAATCTTGAAAAAAAAACTAAAGGTGAATGCCATTTTAGTCATACTTAAAGGTGAAAATTTTGAAGTTTTCTACCAGAGATGGCGTTGTATACACCGAATTTAAAAATTAACTCACTAACAGAAAGCTGCATTATTGCTACACGAAAAAGGCGATGGTGAAATATTTAATTGTAATGAACGATTATGTTAACCCGTTTTCATTGTTAAAAGTTTTAAGAAACAGTTATTGAAAGTAACGAAAAAAAAATAAAAGTAGTCAATAGGTATTGTGTCAATCGCTTACCTGTTATCTACTCCAGACGATTAGATATTTTAATAAATTATTGCTATAACTTCATAATTAAATGCCGAACCCAATTTGATTACTTATTAACAACCTTGGATACCTATTTATATACAAGACAAAAGTTAAGTGTGTTAAACTTTCCGGTGGCTGTTTGTCCCACGTACCACAGAAGTGATATTGGGAAGGATTTCTTGTTTTTAAATTAACATTTCATTTATTTCCAGTATATTGGAGTTGTGGTGGGCATCGTTCATGGAGTGGACGCTTATATATCCTATAAGTATTACAAGGGAATTCGATAAATGTTTTAGAAAGATATGAAATCCTTACTAGATAGATAATAATGACTATGACATATTCATATAATACAGCAATAATTATTATTACTGAAACTGTTGTATCGATGTTTAAGGTTTAGACGATATTGTAGTATGAGGAATGAATATTAGACATTTGAAGTTTAACCTGGGTCCATATACCAAAGTCCTTTGTAAAAAAATGATGGGAATGATTACTGCACACTTGCTCACATGACTTTTCCGGACCAAGGACGACGGCTGAGTGCCGTGCGTCACTGGTCCGGATAGACTAGCTCGTGCACGTATGAATATGTATGGAGATATTTTTCTGCAAGGTATTCGTAAAATCCTTTTTCACCTAGTGTTTAAGCGAATTATTCTGAAGTCGAGCGTCCAAATCCCGGCTGTACATGGTTTTTTGGGTACGGGATACATCGTAAGGCATGCCTTTGACCCAAAAAGTTGATGACGTGTGTCAGGCACAAAAGGTTGATATAGCCTACTTGCCTACTAGAAAAGGAAACGGATACAGAACACTTAGGCCCACACTTATAAGGTTGTAGCACCACTGGTTTTTAGGGGAAAAACCAAGAAAATTTGTATGCCTACCTCTAATTTACGACATATTTCAGGCAATCATTAAAGGCAAGTATGTGATCAACATGATTAATGATACACCTAAAGTTTTATAATTCAACACTTACAAAGTCACATGTACAATTTGGTATAGATATAGTACCTTTTAGTATAATTTTAATTTATGTTGTAACAAACGAAAAAAATATTTTTAGTTTAGCGACATCTAGTGGTCCAGAAGGAAAAAAAATCATGTAAAATTTCTTAGCTTTTGATAAATAATTAAACATTAAAGTAATTTTCTGCAAGAATTTTTATTTATATAAAACAATATCTTCATTCCATTATCTTGTAAAAAAATCTGTAAATAATTTGTTTGTCTAGACTCTAGCATTTACTCAGCTACCAGTATCTCGTGTACGATTGTATTGTTCCCTAACTAAGAATTTCACTTAAAGTGGGCCTTTTAGGATTCTAATAAAATACATAAATACAAATTCCCAAATTATAAGTTATTTGTTTTATTTATTTTCACAGGTCATCACACCATCCAGGTCTTCAACCTACACATTATTCTATCTGATTCTTTTTCTTTTATTCTTTAAATGAAACTGAGGACTTATTAAAAAATCAAGGGCTATCATAAGAGACATATATACTGAAACTAGTAGATAAGTGTCGATTGGCAGCTTCAATTCTTTTACTATAGTGAAGTAAGTCACGTCGCGTTTGCGAGGCAAATGCGGGGGCATCACCGCCACGTCTAATCTGTAAAAACTTTTTTATACAATTTATCAAATATTATCTACAATTGATACTCAATCAAAGTACAATAAGTATAATGTCATTTTAACGAAATTTCCAAATGGTTTTTTTTCAACATCAGTAGCGCGGATGTTAAATTAACTAATTATTAAAGGCACTAACAAATAGTAGACTTTTTTCCAGTATACTCAATAGACAACAAAAAAGGTCCACTAACCTATGTAAATAGTTGTCTAACGTAATACAACGAATAACGTGCCCATTTTAGAAGGTTACTTCTAGCCGTGGGCACAGTAATGTCGGACGATGTCGCCTTCTGACGTACCCATCACGCACATTAAGGCTAAGGTACTGTTATACTGCCGAATTTCCGTCCTTGCCGTGTAACAATTTTATTAATGACAACGCAAACGCGAATTTTCACCAGACATGAAAATGGATAGTTGTTGCAGGAAATCTGCTGATACGTGGAGCTGCTTTATATTTTTTACTCAGTTGGTATTTTAAAAGTACGCGCGTAACGCGTTATAGTTAGGTTCAAAGACATTTATTCTCATAACAGACAATATTCACTTACATGAGAACTTATATACTTAAAATACAATTTATCACGCCGTGGGTCATTGAAGAGCTTCAAGGATGTATTAGCGAAGTAGAACTTGGGTGGAATTTCATTTACGTAAAGTTAAACACAAGGATTTGGGTTTTATTATTAAATCCTGCATTTTTTGTGTATGAAAAAGGACGCTATTGTGTTTTATATAAACGCGGTCTCAATGTAGAAATTCTTGTAATACGACGTTTATTTACGTCGTACCAGGTACGTGGAGATACCGTTCTTTAACACGTTTAAACACTTGAATGACGAGATGTCTCTGTGTGCGTACCATCGGATTGCATATTTGTAACATGTATTCTTAAGCGGCATATATATATTACTGCTCATTTTTTATATTTAACTAGCTGACCCGACAAACGTTGTTTTGCCATGTATATTTTTTCTAATAAACATTGTTTTAGTTCAATAAAAATAACTATCTGCTATAATAAAAAATAGGGGTTGATTGTAGAGGGGTGAAAATTAAGGGTTGTATGTATTTTTGTATGTTGTATCATAAAAAAATAAAAACAAGAAAAATTGTCTAAAAATTATAAAACTAATTTTTGAGGTGGACATCCCTCATCACTTAAGGGTTTGAAAGATAGATAGTAGCCGATTCTCAGACTTACTGAATATGCATAAATTTCATAAGAATCGGTCGAGCCGTTTCGGAGGAATATGGGGACAAACATTGTGACACGAGAATTTTATATATTAGATTATTCAACCAAGTTTTAGACTTTAAAGTATATCCCAATTGGTTAAATTATTATAATTTATCAATTATTTCCTTAGCGTTTCGTGTGCCGTAAGGTAAGATTTAGAGTTGAGGCCTAATTCTATAAATACTCGTATGACTCCCGAAATAAAAATGGATTGTTATTTTTTACCCTTAGTCTTAGGATAATTTTCTGTTGTCCGATTGTGATGTTTTCTATAACTTCTTATACTTATGCTGTTTATTGTTGTAAACCTTAATATTTTTTTATACAGGTTCACATGTACGAAAATTGGTAAGAACCTAACCAGTCCAGTCAATTTCTTTTGCGATCTATGTAACTATCAATTAACAATCTAAACTTGCTGTTGGAATATTGTTATTGCCTGTAACTATGAATAGTTCTATACATTTAAAAAAAAAAATATTATACTTGCGAAATTAATTGGCATCATTATTAAATACAAATAGCAAGATTGTCAATCTCATAATTTACATATTACACCGTTACACTTAAAAACAACAGAGGATCGAGAGACGACAAAATTCCGGATACAGAGTCGTTTAACAGGTTCTATAATTTATGATATAGGTTTTTGTTTCCCATAGAAATTAATTAAATAATGAGCCTAAAGCTTTTAATACCCTCTTTATTATATCATTATTAATTGGGCAAGCTTAATTATATTCTGTGAACATATTTTTGTTTTTTATAAGATAGGGCGGCAGACTCACTGGACAGAAATAAAAGGCAGGCTTATGGAGACCTATTTTAGTGGGTTTGTCCCAGCCTTTGAGCGCCAAGCTCTCTTTTTAAATAATTGAACGTATCTCTCAGAGAAGACCTCCACTGGAAGCCGATTTCACGGTTAGCTAGTTCGGTAGTATCAAGATTGTGTGGTGTGCTTGAAATATGGAATTATTAAGGCATTTATAATCATTTGAAAAGGATTTTTATGTGTAATTTTTATGTAATTTAACAGTTTGCCTGAAGCCGTTAAGCAAACAGCTTAACCCTTAAGCGTTTGAACTACGAATGGACTTTTACATTCGCGAGTAGTACTTACGAATGTAAAAGCCTTCTCGTATACCTGCCTACATGCTATGAAATAATACTATGTCATATTTTGTAATACAAAAAACAGTATGCAGCAACATAATTTTAAAAACTAACAGTTTAATTTCTTTTACTTAACTCATATCAACTAAATAGTATAGGAAATGTAATTGAATATATACAAAAAAAAATAGTTCCTACTTGAAAGAACGACTTCGCCATAGAACATTAGAACATAGACCAAGGAAAAGCAGACAAAAATGACAGAAAAAGTTGCCTCGATAAACAACGAGTAGCAGGGAAAGGAAAAATTATTTCCACGAATGGCACGCTGTTGCAACTGTATGGCGATAACATTATTCCACGCTTCCTGAATGGGTCACATTCAATACAAATCAAATCCTTTGCCAATCTTAAATACCTTAGATTTTTTATGCCCACAGACTGTTTAAAAAATATTTAAGAATTAACCTAATTGTTACCAATTAGGCGATTAGCATTCATCGTGAATGTTATGAAGGTGGATGAAGGGAGAGTGGTATGTCAGGACAGTAGACATGTTCTCTGATTATCCCATATATAGATAGTAAATTTGTAAGGCTAAATTCGTTAAATTTCATATATGTTAAAATACAAACGTTTGAATTAGGAAAATCTTGTATCATACTTTATACCACTGTGCTAAGATGTAAGCTAGTAAACATAATTAACTAAAAAGTAATAAAATACTGATTAAAAACGGCGAACGTGATAAGTGTAATGTTTTAAACGTCGACACCACGGTTGAATATGTTATGATAATATTCTGTACTTGAATCACGTTTGCGGTGTAACAAAACAATGTTTAAATTTATTATAATACGAATTAGTGTGCTGTTTATCGGATCACTAAATTTTAATATAGAGATGTTTATTCTGCGCAAATAGTCAAATCAATCAGTAGTCAATTGTTCCATATTATAATTATTAGATGTTTGTTCAGTTGTCTGAAATAGTTATTAAAACATTCGAAAGATTTAAACCAATTATTGTTTATTTAATTTTAAGAATGTAATATGATTTGTACTACCAAATACGAAATAAATATAGCTTATACAATATACATATAAAAACCTTATCTTCACAGTATTAAGGTACCCGTACATTTCTCGTTTCTGGTTAGACCACGAATTAGGAATGTATGTTGATATTCTAGATTTTCCATAAATCTAGGTTTGAAGCCTCTTATTCTTTAATTAAATAACTCCTATACTTGTTTGTCTTTTGTCAAATTGTGTTTATGCAAT